AAGAGCCAGAGAGAGCTTGCTGGAGGGGGAGTCCCAAAGAACTTGGAGAGATCCCTGTTTCCATTTCTAACAGATGGGGGGGGAGAAACCTGACAGCACAGCTTGCATTCCTTATTAGTAATTGGAGCAAGAGTACAGGAGCAAGAGTAATGACTAACAAAATTTGTGGCAGGGAATGAGCTTTCATGAATCACTGCTCACTTCTTCAGATACAGCTGGATGTGAGTCCACCTGTCCTTATATCTTGGAGAGTGAAGTAATTTCAGATGCCAAAAGACAATAGCAGGCATTGTTAATGAGAGAAAAAAACTAGGTCTCAATTCAGTCCAGGAGTTTGCATTGTCTTGAGCTTCATTATTAGCTGCAACTCAGCAGTCTCTCTTTCTAATCTCCCTTTTAAATTCCTTTGTAAGAGAACTGCTACTCTTAGGTCAGCAACTGACTGCTCTGGAAGGTTAAAATGTCCCCCCACTGGTTTTTTAGTGTTTTGGATTCTAATAATGGTAGAGTAAAAGTTCAGTAGCACCTTTAAAGACTAACAAAATTGCAGTAGGGTTTGAGCTTTTGTGAGTCACTGCTCACTTCTTCAGACTTATTTCCATTTATCCTTTGCATCCTCCTGGATTGAATCCTCCTGTACCAAACTGAGACCTAGGTTTCTTGACTCATTACCACTGCTGATTTCTCCATGCCCCTGTATATCGCACCAATGCTGATATCTCCACCCCTCTGCATATCACACCTAATCCAATCACGGCTGCTATTGCCATTCAGCATCTGAAATCATCTTTATGAAGTTTATATCTCCGATACCTTGTGTTATATGTTATGACACACATGGCCCGACCCAACAGAGTGAGATTGTAACAAATGAGTTCTACACCTCTGAACTAGGACCTTTATTTATTTACAAAATTTGTATCCCACCTTTCTGCCCTTACAAAGGCTACCAAGATGGCTAATATTTTAAAACACATATGAAAAAAATCATATTTTAAAACCCTTAAGACAGCCGCCCCTGCACACGTAATTAAAACAATTCTAAAAACACAGTTAAAATATACACCAAGCATAATAACCAGCAATGAAAACTCTAGTTAGGAAGGAGAGATCATTGTGGGAATGCCAAATGAAACAGAAAAGTCTTCACCCACTACTGGAAGATGACGGCAACAGAAGGGGATGGACGAATCTCCCTGGGAAGAGAGTTCAAGAGCTTTGGTGCCATGACTGAGAAGTCCCTCTCCCAGGTGCCACCAGCCTCATCTCAGAAGGTGGGGGCACCCAAAGAAGGGCCTGGGAAGAGGACCGTAGTGGTCCGGCAGGTTTACAAGGAAGTAGAAAAACGTTGACAGCTCTCCCCTCCAACAAGGCCAACCTTGCTCCCTCACTTTCTTGCTCCTGACCCCACTACGTGGGCAGTCTCTCTTCAGGTGTCACCATGGCCCACAAGAATAGCCCAGGACTCCGGGCCCCCAGTCCTCTCCGGGAGTCCCAGCCGACAGGCATATTCCATTCCCTCAAGGTGGCTTTCCAGGAAGACATTCTGGGACTAGGGGTGATAAGAACATAAGAACATAAGAGACGCCAATGTTGGATCAGGCCACACTGCTCTTTACTTATGAATGCTGTGGCAACACAAT